ATATTATTGGATGAATGATGTACGTTTGATATAATTCAAATCCTTTACTTACTTCAGTTCGTAGAGAAATCTAAAAAACGTATGCTAGCCAACAACTAAAAGTTTTTGGACTTTGTAAAAAAAATCCTCCAAGCTTTTAAATTATATAAATACCCCTAAAAATTTAATTTTTTATTAAAACATCTTAAAAATTATAAATTTTACTTATTTTAATTTAATGAGAAATCTGAAAAATAAATGCTCGCTAAAAACTAAACATTTTTCACTTTTGAGAATGTATCTTGTAAGTTTTTAAAAATAAGAAAACACCCCTAAAAATTTAAAATTTATAAAAAAAATACCTTAAAATTTTTAAACATATAAACACACTAAAAATCTACAAATAACACAAACAACCCCTAAAAATTTATGGAATTTACAATAAACACTCTAGATTTTTTGCTAATTGCAAAATAAAATCCTCAAATTTGTAAAATTTACAAAAAACTTGATAATATCCAACCTAACAATGCATTGAAACTATATGAGTTACAAATATCCCCTACATAATTAATAATTTACAGAGAACACCCTTAAAGTTTTAAAAATTACAAACAAACACTCAAAATTCTAATTTTATAAAAAATATCCTGAGAATTTCAAACTCATTAGTAAATTGAAAACATATGAATTATAAATAGTCTACAAATAATGTACAATCTATAGAAAAAACTATGAGTTTAAAAATTACGAAAAACCCCTAATATTCATAAATTATATAAAACACCATGAGAATTTCTAACCTATGGACATTAAAATTAATAAACAAAATTACTAACAACCCCTAAAAACTTAAAAATTTGTAAAAAATATCACATTCCCTTAAAAAGTATAGGTTTAGGGAAAACTTTTCATGATCAATATTAAGTCTATGTATATTTTATAAATTAGTTTTTAATTTAACATATTAAATTACTTTTACTTTATAAAAATTTCTTCTTTGACTTATGGATTGTGTAATTACTATATCTAGGATAGGAAGGACCTCACTCTAAATGGCTTCAAACTAATATTTGAGTTGAACCAAAGTATATACTATTGCTACTGTGTGTATATATTTTTTAAGAAAATCATGTCAACACTTTTTTAACAGAAAAAAAATATTCTAACCTCTGATATTATAAAAACTCAATATAGCCAATTGAGTGATTAGCAAAAAATGACTTACATTAGAAAAACGTGAATAATAAAATAAAGTGGATAGGTGATAGCATTGCCAACAATATTACCAATAGCAAGTTATAATGTAAAATTAACATATTTTAAGGAGCCCAACTACTCGCTATAAGCATCGAGGTTTCCATATATATATTTTATAATTTATTAAAAGGGTCATATAATCTTATATAATAAAAAATAATTTAATATTGAATAGTAATATCATTGTAAATGAGCAATTACAGAGATGTTAGGGACTAATATGTATGTATTTAAGATTTCAGCACAAATATCTTAAGAACCTAATTATATAAGCATGCCCACTTGTATAAGCATGCCCACTCTATCATGCACCTATTCTGTTCACTTTTCTCTTTGCTCATTCTCCACTAATTTCGCTATCAAGTTCAGACAGAAATAGAATTCATGTCGGTGAGGTTTTCTCTCCCTCTATCCCTCGATCTCATATTTTTTTATTTAGTTTCTTTAATTCTTTTTTAATAATTTTTTGGATCTATTTCATGTTTTATTCTATGAAATGCCTTGTTAGATTCAATTTAAATATACTTTTCTTTCAATTATTATTTCCCCCTATTTATGGGTCAATTAATCACTGTAATGTTTAGGTATTTTTGCCCATTTTATATTTTGAATTAATAGTTTATTTTAGGAGAATTTTTATAAACATCACTTTATAAAAGTATTAGCAAAAAGAGACTGTTTTACATAATAATTAACAAAATTGACATCTTTTTTGCCGCATCGTCAAGACTGGCAAAAAAGAGTCCGGCTTTGCAAAAAATCATCTTTAAAATATACGGGACTAATAGTCCCGTGCAATTAGTGGACATTAATTACAAAAGTAATTAAAGTCAAAAAATACACGGGACTACCACTCTTGCATATTTTGTAGTCAAAACCAGAAAATACACGAAATTACTGTATATGTTCTATATACAATACAATTGCCCCAAACAAGTGAGTTATAATAGTATTTTTTATTCACACCGTTTGGGGTAAGATTTGATAGAGACATTGCATCAAAGGAATTTCTTTTATATTTAGAGCACATAGCGAAATTTGTCATAATCTGTCTGCACTAATTTTGCAAGAATATAACTTTATACTTTCAGTTTTACTTCTATGAAATGGAAAATGAGCTATACAATTGAATGGGAATATTAGATAATATAAATATGAGTGAAATCATAACTAAAAGTTAATGTAAATATGAGTCAAACCACAACTAAAAATTTAATGAATATATTGTAAGTAAATCCATATGCAAAATTTCTTTGTGAATTGAATCATCACCCATCTTTTAAAGACTTCAACATACTAATAAACATAGATGTTGTACTAAATCAATGTGTTTATAACTCATAAATAGTAGATCACGTGACAACAATATGAGTTTATTTGAAAGAGTGATTATTGAGTTGATGATCAATTTCGCAAAAAAAAATATTTTTTTTATTTTTATTCTATTTTTATTAATTTACATAATCATGATATTCAATCACGTGCATTGTATGTGCATCTCAACTAATAATGCATAAAAAGTACTCGCTGTGAGGGGCCAATTAAGAGTTTTTTTGCATATATATCATTCAAATCTTTCATATTTATAAATTTACCCCTCAAACTTCATTTTCTTGAAAACAAACCCAATCTCTCTCTCGCTCTCTCCTCCCTCCCACTTTATCTCCTTTCCTTTCTCTATTCTTCTCTCTACCTCTTATTATTGTTGCTTTCCCTCTCCTCCTTTGCTTCCCTCTATACCCTGCATCCACCCCTTCTCTTCCCTCCTCCCTTTTATCGTCCTTGATCATTTTCACCTGATGCTTCGTCATAGTCTCCGATTCTCTCACTTCTCTTTCTCCTTCGCTCTTCGCTCTTCAACCTATTTTTTCATATCTCCTCCATTTCATCTCTTCACGCTATTGCCGTTAAATCTAGTATTGACCTGATGCGTTTTTTCGACTCCCATGTCGAGCCTTGTCCTATGAAAAAGTGCAGATGAAGGAGGTAAAAAGAGGAATGAGGTGAGGATAACAAAATATGTTTTACTGGCAAAAGCGTCACTTCTTGTACCTTATTATCGTTGAAGGTCTTATTGGCAAAAATGGTCACTCTTTTCAATTTATTCTCATTAAAGACAATAAATACACGTTACTAGTTAAAGAGTTAACATTAAATACCAATATGATAATCTATTCCTCTATACAAATGAGAGAACTCAAGATCCACTATTCATGCTACAACAAAAAAGTTACAGTAACATTTACTGTAGCAGCATGAAACTGTACATTGCGTTTTTGAAAAAACACTGTAGCACAAGAGAATGTTGTAGCAGAGGTGGGATACTGTAGCAATTCAAAAAATTTAAAAAAATATAGCATTTAAACTGAGATTACTGTAGCGGGAAAAAAATGTCTTGCTTTGCACAGTATTCACGCTCGTTTAGCCAATCCTCAAACATATTTTTCGTCGTATCATAGCAGACAGCAATTTTCCACATTTTGAAAAAATAAAAAAAATATTGCTCTTCGGTTTCTAATTATTTAATTCATTTCCTCGTTCCGGAGACACCCTATTCGCTATTTGGCCGCTGGGAATGATACACACACGCTCCCCTTCCAACACGACAGCAACAGTTGACCGCACCCGCATCTCACGTGCTAATAAGCTAGAACCCAGGCCTACCCTCACTCCTCGACCCATCCCCTCTCTTTCTCCATCTCCCGCTCCCCATCCATTTCAACCCGAGAGAGAGAGAGGGAGGGAGGTTCTCTCTACCAAACCCAACAATGGAGTCCACAAATCTTCCCACAATACCCCTACTCGCCCTCTCCAAAACCCTAAAATTCCCCCGAAAACCCTACCACCCCCTCCCTCCCAAATCCATCCAATCTCGCCCCGGATGCTTCAACGGCTTTAACCCCCGCAGGTCACGAGACCTCCTCTTTGCCTCTCTAGCTGGAAAATTACTCAGAGGCCCTCGAAGATTCGTTTCGCCGTGGCGGGCAGTGGCCTC